AAAGCACTACAATCCTATTTCGAGAGGCCCTTTCAAGATCTTCTCTCTTCAGGTGCATGATCAGATTATACTAAAATATCCCATTTACATTTAACAAATATAAAACATTTTCCATGTTGATATACAGTTATATCAACACGAGTGGAAATTGGGAAAACGAGAAATTGTGTGGAAACACGACGCCCGAAGGGCGGAGTGTTTTCATACAATTTCGAGTTTTTCCAACTTCCACGAGTGTTGATATAACTACATATCAATACGGAAAAAGTTTTATATTTGTTTTATAATATAGCAATGTCAAAAGCCCGAAGAATAAGAAAAATTTCCGTGTTTACAAGCGGCGGAAAATTTCCCGTGTTGACATGGAGTTATATCAACACGGCTCTTAGCCAATCAGCGTTCAGAATTTACAAATGCTATATTATAAATATCGATCGTTCATAGTGTCATAAAGCCTAACCGTTTTTAATTAAAAATTTGTTCGCATGCCGGCATGCACTAGCCAGTTCGTTTTTCTTGTTTAGAGTACAAGTTTCCGGTTTACAAATGATGAAATATTTTTCCATTATACCGGGTGTCCCAAAAAAAAGTACTCCGGTTTGATTCGTAATAACTTCTAAACAAGTAAACCTTTTAAAGAGCAATAACTTGCATCAAATAGAGGAAGGGCTAACTTAGATTTTCATATATTACAGTTGTATTTCACTTAAAAATTCACGGAGATATTAATGTTTAAATTCGGGAGCATATTTCTGGATGTGTCTGAAATATGCAAAAAACGGCGTATCAAATATTAATCAAGATTTGCCCGACTGAAAGATGCACGATTACCAGTAAATAAATGACACTTGACAAATTGATTATGTCAACAAAGTCTGTATAATAAATATTATCTACAAAATACAAGCAAGATTTATTCGTCCGAAATCTGTGTGTGTTCCTAGCACGAATACGTTTCCTTATTTTATGGGACCACTGCATCGCGAAGGATTGTCCTGGTCCTTCGTAGTTGTCATTTAGGGCATGCTGTCACAATGGAATTGTGAAGCTCTTCTAACTTCTGCAATGTTCTGAAATCTTGTTAAGAACACTCAAACTCATTTGCCTTTGCTTAATCTTTTTAAGTTCAGAATAAACTGAGAATGAAACACAATCAAACCATACAACTCCACAAGACTCCCTGGAGACATCCAACATTCTTGGAACAAAACGTAACAAAATAGTAGCGTTGATACTGTGATGTGTATTTGCAAAAAGCAATATTATTTCCTTCATTGCAGAATAATATTCATCCTGCTCTAACCGAGAAATAATCAACCATGTTTTGAACCCATGAAAAACATAAAATTAGGCTAAGAAAAATTTAAGCGCCTGCCTTGCATGGTCTCTCATGTACCTTATAAATTTGTAAAGTTTGTAAAGACCTATTAAATACTTGCATAATTTCGTACGTTCATATTTCAGGAAACAATGAGCTAAGACTTAGCTTACATGTAAGAAATCTAAATCTACGCCATATCCCTTACAATAAACCCTAACGACAATTCGCTGAAATACAAGTTAGCCTGATATGTCATCAAGCAAACAAACGCTGAAGTTAATATTTGATATGCCGATTTTCGCTAATTTTAGACACATCCCAAAATATGCTCCCGATTTTGAACATTAATATCTCCGTGAATTTTTTAGTAAAATACAACTGTAATATATCAAAATCTAAGTTAGTCCTTCCTCTATTTAATGCATGTTATTTCTGTTTGATAGCTTTACTTGTTTAGAAGTTATGATAAATCAAACCGGAGTACTTTTTTTTGGGACACCCGGTACATAAATTACATTTTTTCCCAAAATTTGAATACGGATTTGCACGGGCCATTATTTTCCAGTCTACAGCGTATCTAATGTTATTGTCTTTTAGGGACCACAAATGTGCTTGCTCAACTCTGTGGAGTTTCTCTTGTTGTTGTCACGGAATGAACACGTGTGATTGTTAAATCGTGTTTTGAACCGATCCTCAGTAATGCCGATGTATATGTTTCCTTTGTATCGTTGGTTTTCACAGTGGCTTGGTAAATGACATTGTTGCTTAGGCATTCCCCTTTTAGCGGACAATCGGGTTTCGATCTACAATTACACATTCTTTCGGATTGTTGTGGGTTTTCTCTGAGGATAGATTTGTTGTGGGTATTGATTTTTCTTTCTAAATTAGGCATGCACGTGTAACTTATTTTCAATGTGTTTTTGTTAAATATTTTTTGCAGTGGGTGCCCGCTCTTGAAGGATTCTTTCACAATATTTCTAAACTTGCGTCCTACATTTGTGGCGACATTTTTGCAAAATGGGGGATTATACCATGTAATATTCCTGCGTCTAGATCTTCTCTCTGTAGCTTGGTTGTTGGTTGCTTCATATTTTAGGTCATAATTGTAGCCGCTTTTCTCTAATGCACGTTGGTATTCGTTGAGCCTTTTGTTGATTGCGAGAGGGATGTTTTTTATAATGCTTGGTGGGTGATTGCTCTCATTGTGAACATAGAGTGGCTTATTGTTGGGTTTGAGATACGGTTCGTGGGTTCCTTTGTTAAGGTCCAAGATTACGTCCAGGAAATTAATTAACGATCTTTTTGTTGGCATCAATTGTTATTTTCAGACCATTGTCCTTGAACACTTTGCAAATCTGTTTCTTGATTCTTTCGAGGCATTGGGGTGAATTTTCAAATGCTCCCAGGCCATCATCTCTATACAGGCCAACTTGATTTCTAATGGTCTCGGGAAGCTGGTGTAGTAAATACGATCCCACTAATTCACACGTTTCTGCGCCATCAAACGAGCCCATCGTGACATCGAATGAGTTTGATGAATTCTTTTTGGTCCATGCGATGTTGCCGTTGTATAGGAGAGATTGCGTTGCATGTCATATTATTTATTTCTCTTGGGCTGGAATATCTGTGTGTGCTTCTGCGAATTTGAGAGCGTCCTCGAATAGTTTGGATGAGATTGAGGGATAGAAATTTACAATGTCGAATGTAATAAACGGGTGCCGCTCTTTTCCGGTGATGCTGTTAAACCAATTTAAAGTGTCTTTCGTGCTCTTCCATTGTTTCACGCCTGTTTTGTTATTAATGTCTTTGTTTATTCTGTCGATGATACATTTGCTCACTTTGCCTATTTCAGACTTCGTTGGATTTATTAGACGGCAAGTTGGGTTATTCGAGAAGTTGTCTTTATGATCTTTCAGGGAGATAAAAGCTTTATTTTGAGCTAACGTTTCGATTCTGTCGCTTAGGTTTAAATTTCGAGCTATGTCTTTCGTCTGGTTGTTGATCTCGCTCACTGTGTCTACTGGTGCCTTCTTGTATTCTTTCTCTACGTTCTTTTTTAATAATGATTTGTAATTGTCGGTGGTCATTCTGAGGAAGTTTGTAGTCTTATCCGCTGGTATATATAAGTTGGCGTCGTTATTGATTGCTTCGGTGTGTTCAGACAGTTTGCGTTGGAACTCCGAGGGCCTAGGTGTTCTGAATTCGATGTTATGGATCATATTGGTCATCTTGGTTTCAAACTCGTCTAGCTCGGGTACTTGTGGTGGGATTTCTTTGATTTGAATCCATAAGTTTGCTGTTCGTTGTTTATTGTAGATGGTTTTAGGAAGTGGTAGGCACGTCATCGCATTCTGCTGATCAGTTTGCCAGATCATTTCAATCAGCCTTTTGTGGTATTCTTTATTAGTTGGTATTGGGATATTTTTCGTCGAACAATCAAAGTTTATCCTTTGCATATCGGCTTTTTGGAAATATAGTGCTCAACTTGAGGAGCGTGTAAATACAAATTGGTTTTCTCCTTCAGCCGTATAGTGCTCTACACCAAAGTGGAGCTATAAGTTAAAATTAAAAATTAAAGATTAAAACCTAAAATTGTTCATTAAAAATTGAAAAGCACTACAGTTCTGTTTCGAGAGGCCCTTCTAGATCCTCTCTCTTCAGGTGCATGATCAGATTACACTAAAATATCCCATTTATATACCGATCGTTCATAGTGTCATAAAGCCTAACCGTTTTTAATTAAAAATTTGTTTGCATGCCGGCATGCACTAGTATAGTGGGCATACAAGTTGGCATAGAGATGATGGCCTGGGAGCATTTAAAAATTCACCCCAATGCCTCAAAAGAATCAAGAAACAGATTTCCAAAGTGTTCAAGGACAATGGTTTGAAAATAACAATTGATGCCAACAAAAAGACCGTTGATTTCCTGGACGAAACCTTGGACCTTAAGAAGGGAACTCACGAACCGTATCTCAAACTCAACAATAAGCCACTCTATGTTCACAATGAGAGCAATCACCCACCAAGCATTATAAAAAACATCCCTCTAGCAATCAACAAAAGGCTCAACGAACTTTCCTCAAACAAGGAATCATTTGACAAAGCATCACCCGATCGAATACCAACGTGCATTAGAGAAAAGCGGCTACAATTATGACCTAAAATATGAAGCAACCAACAACCAAGCTACAGAGAGAAGATCTAGACGCAGGAATATTACATGGTAAATCCCCCATTTTGCAAAAATGTC